ACAATTAGAGATGAAGTGCGGACCCTCCGTGGTGCATCAGTGTCGTTCTCCATTTCTTCGCCGTCAAAGCCAAAGACTAAGTTCAAGATTATAGGTGCATTCACCAGTGCTCGTATTGGACTAGCTACCCATACTTACCCCATGGAGCAACTCAGGAACACATACAAGCACCTTATTGGTCTTCCCATTCAGACCCTTATGAATGTTAAGCCCTTGCTTCTAATTGGAAGTGACCACCCCCATCTCGTCACTCCCATTGAACCTGTCAGATTGGGACCTCCAGGAGGGCCTGCTGCCATCCGCACAAGGCTGGGCTGGACACTGCAGGGCCCAGCGAGTGTAGTCTGTCACCTCACCCAACCACGGCAGTGTCTATTTACAACAGTAGCACCCCAGGTGAGCGAACTGATGAAACATGTTGAGAGATTATGGCAGGTCGACGATGTCCCATTCAGAAGCGAGAAACTAGTTACTCGTTCAAGACAGGACCAAGAGGCCATCAGCATCCTGGAGACCAAAACCATCAGGGTAGAGGTTGATGGCATTCTACGTTACGCCACCCCGCTGCTCCGCAAGAGAGACATGCCGCTCTTTCAGGCTACTGAAGAAGCCGTCATGCCCAGTTTACGAAGTGTAGAGAGGCGACTGGCTAGAGATTCTGCACGGGCAGAAGCCTACAGAGTGGAGATGGAGAAACTTATCAAGGCGGGCTATGTCATCAAGTGTGGACCGAAAGTTTCAGCCGAGGAAGGTTGTGAGGAATGGTATATTCCTCACCATCTGGTGAGCCATAATGGCAAGAATAGGCTGGTATTCAACTGCTCCTACCAGTATCGAGGGCAGATCCTCAATGACAATCTACTGCCTGGGCCGACATTAGGAGCATCACTACTGGGAGTCCTGCTAAGATTCCGAGAGCATGCAGTTGCGGTTAGCGGAGACATCAGAGGCATGTTCCACCAAGTTCGCCTCCTCCCAGAAGATCGTGCTCTGCTCAAATTCCTTTGGCGCGACGTCAGTCAAGAAGGCCCTCCTGCAGTGTACGAGTGGCAGGTGCTACCGTTTGGTACAACATGTAGCCCCTGCTGTGCCACATTCGCCTTACAGCGCCACGTCTCTGATCTGGCTTCACGCCAGCCAGATGAAGAGGTGAGGTTCTCAGTTGAGAAATGCTTTTATGTAGATAACTGTCTCCAGAGTGTTCCCAATATTGCTGATGCGAGGCACCTTGTAGACAAGCTACGAGCCCTTCTTGCGTCTGCAGGCTTTGATCTGCGTCAGTGGGCAAGCAACGAACCAGGTGTAATAAGTCACCTACCAGAAGAGAGCTGCTCTGCCAGTGTTGAGCTATGGCTGGCTCAGAACAAGACGGATACCCCAGAATCTACTCTAGGGCTAAGCTGGCTCTTCCACACGGATGTCCTTGGCTACAAGCATCGCCATGTGGAGTATGGGGTTCCCACGATGCGTAATATCTATAAGGTGCTGGCGAGTCAGTACGACCCCTTGGGGTTCATCCTACCCTACACCACCAGGGCTAAGATAATTGTCCGACACCTTTGGGACAAACACAGGGGATGGGATGATCCATTACTACCGCAGGAGCTTCTGCAGCAGTGGAAAGACTGGGAAGAAGAATTACAAGTCTTACCTCAAGTCACCCTGCCCCGACCATACTTGTCGAAGGACGTGGACACCTCCGGTCTTCAGAGAGAGGTGCATGTATTTTGCGACGCCTCAGAAGAGGCTTATGGATCAGTGGCATACCTCCGGACCACTGACAGACACGGTGAAGTGTATCTGTCATTCCTGATGGCCCGTTCTAGAGTTGCTCCCAAGCGATTTCACTCTATGCCCCGATTAGAACTCTGTGCTGCCCTTACGGGTGCACAGCTCTCGCAGGTGCTGAAGAGGGAGCTTACCATCCACATTGATCAGACAATCCTTTGGTCAGATTCCACAACGGTGCTGACATGGCTGAGGTCTGAATCTTGTCGATTCAAGGTCTTTGTGGGCACCCGCGTGGCCGAGATACAGGAGCTGACTGACAGGCATGCCTGGAGATATGTTGATACCGCAAGAAACCCTGCTGATGACGTAACACGAGGGAAGAAGCTGAGAGAGCTTGTTCAGCCAAATAGATGGAGCCTGGGACCTGCCTTCCTCCTGACCAGTCCAGACTCATGGCCAGAGGACCCTGCTGTTGAACAAGCAGAAGATACCTCAGAGCTGCGCAAGTCTACTTTCTGTGGGGTCGCCGCAGTTGCATCAAGCCAGTCGACTTCAGAAGTGAGTCAATACGGCTCGTGGAAGGAGCTGCTGGATGAGACAGTGCAGGAGCTGCATGGGGCGGCCAACTTTAATGATAAGCCCACAGCTGAAGACTACCGACAGGCTGAACGGTTAATACTTCAGAGGGCTCAGAGGGATAGTTTTCAGCAAGAGTACAGCCTCCTGAAAGCTGGTAAACCAGTTCCCAGCAGCAGTCGACTCCGTATGCTGTCTCCAGAGCTGGATGAAAAGGGAGAGCTCATTCGTGTTGGAGGACGACTCCGTCGAGCAGAAGGCCTAGAACTGACCACTCTTCATCCAGTCATCTTAGACCCAGGTCATCGAGTGACTACGCTCTTGATCCAAGATTTCGACAACCGCCTACGCCACCCAGGCCCAGAGCGGGTGTTCGCCGAGCTTCGACGCTCCTTCTGGATCCTGCGAGGGCGTGAGGCTGTCCGGCGCTACCAGTATAGCTGCGCTGACTGTCGGCGATGGAGGGCAAGACCTGCAGTGCCGAAAATGGCAGACCTGCCATCAGCCCGTCTGCGCCTTTACAAGCCGGCTTTCTACTCTACAGGGATGGACTGCTTTGGGCCATTTGAGGTCAAAGTTGGCCGGCGCCGGGAGAAGAGATGGGGGATCATTTTCAAGTGCCTCACAACGAGGGCAGTGCACTTGGACCTCCTTACCTCTATTGATACGGATGCTTTTCTGATGTCCCTTCGTCGATTTATTTCCCGTAGAGGAACACCTGCCGAGCTGTTTTCCGATCAAGGGACAAATTTCAAGGGAGGTGAGCGAGAACTCCGTGAGACCTTCGCTGGAATGTCTAAAGAACTACAACATCTCCTTGCACCACAGAAGATCTCCTTCCGCTTTAACCCCCCAGCCGCTCCTCACTTCGGAGGGGTGTGGGAGAGGGAGATACGCTCAGTTAAGAGTGCACTCTATGCCACAGTCGGTGCTCAACCTGTTCCGGAAGAAGTGCTTCGCACTGTACTTACTGAGGTGGAAGGGATCCTCAACAGTAAGCCCTTGGGTTATGTTTCTTCAGATGCCAGCGACCCAGATCCAGTGACTCCCAGTGTTCTTCTTATGGGGCGGCCTGATGGTTCGTTGCCTCAGGTAGTCTACCCCGAAAGTGAGCTCATCTGTCGCCGCCGTTGGAAACACTCCCAAGTTTTGGCTGACCACTTTTGGGCCCGTTTCATCCGACTCTATGTGCCGAGCCTGCAAGCTCGCCAGAAGTGGCAGGCTACACCAGCTGATATTGAAGGGGACTGGGTAGTGATGATCGCTGACCCACATCTTCCGAGGGCTCTCTGGCCCATTGGGAAAGTGGTTAAGACTCATCCCAGCCCTGACGGGCACATCAGGTCCGCTGATGTAAAGGTGAAGGAGAGAATCTACACACGGCCAGTTGCCAGACTGGTTGTCCTCCCTGCACTTCCATCTGGAGAAGATGGAAACGGTTCCACTCCTGCCACTACACCCCAGCCATAGAACTTTGTTGCCTTTATTGATGAGCGAATGTATTACATACATTCGGGGGCGGCTGTAGAAAAGGCCCCAAAGTTATTTCAGTGTTGCTATTATTTTGTATAGTTGACCATATTAGGCTTTGTTTCACGTTTACTTCCGTTTATTCAGTGCTTGTAACGGTAGCCGAAGCGCGCGCTGGTTTGTATACTATCTGACGTCACACAGTTAGTATGCAGTACGATAGAGATAGTCAGTCGGTCGGTCGGTCGGATTGTAGATGTGAGCTGCACCTTTCTTCAGAGTGTGCGTAAATGAGAAGAGTAAGTACATATGTGATATTGTATTATTTGTTAAACTAGTTATTTCTGTTATTTGATGTGGATAAGAGTTAGGAGTTTAAGGAGTCGCTATGCGACCGTGGTGCTAATTATATCCACGTTCGTTCATTTCACGCTCGAGCTTCGACTCGTCTGATTTTAGTACGTCGAGTTAACGATATGTAATATCGTGTTTAGATGTGTTTATACTTTCATATTTGTTGTTAGGATTGATCAGTACTTTGTGGTTGAGTAAAATAAGAAGTAAGTGGTGGTAAATATTGTTATTTGGATCGCTATCGAGGTTTCTCAGTCAGGGCTTTGCTAGCTCGAATGGAATATAGCATTCAGTACGGGGTTTTTTCATAATAAAACCATCCAGCTGTTTAGTTAGTTGAAGCTATAAAGTGTATTATCATAGATGACAGTAAGTGCTATCTATGTTAGTGGGAATTTAACTTATAATAGAAAATCTGAGGATCCTTTATAATAAGTGTTTGAATCTTTACATTATGCTTACAGTATTAGAGTTTAAGAGATATACTGTATAGATATATTTTGACTATTGTTTGCTTTGTTTAGTAATGTATATTAGTGCTTAGAGAGGAATGAGTGTATGCATATGTTTAATTTATTCATTTGTAATTTGTTTCTCTCTTTATAGAAACCACACTCAGAATTACACTCACCCTCAAACTCACTCACACAAGAAAGAGGAATAAAGAAACAGAATCAGAACTATTTCTCCGCTCTTTATTTCATACTCTGGAACATTTGGCCTTAAGTGGTGTTCTGGCCGACACACCTGAGTGAACTTGGTGATAAACCCAGAACTAGCACCTAGACTGAGCGTCTACCCATTATCTTCACAACAACTGGAATGAAACTGGCTACTTGTGAAACACTCTCTATCTCATTTTCTTGCAGAGTCGAAAGCATGCAAACAAAGTTCGCCTGTATTACATGTTACACCCAGTGGATGGTGGCTGCCCTGCAAAGAAACTTCGGACAGACAATGTAAGTGAAGAAATACGCCTACATATGGCTTTTTAATGTACATGCATTGGCACTGATAGAGAATTTGTTGCTAGTTATGCTATTTGAATTTGTTAGATTGCAGGAAAAAAAAATACTAGCACCAATTCCAAGCCACTTTCCTTCTAAAAAATTGAAGCTGGCAGTTTCATTACTCCATTGAGGAACCCAGATGTAGCTACCAGGAAAAACGGTTTTATGTCCACAACATATTGATTGACATGGATGACCTGCTCGTCTAAGCGTATTACTTCTGCCCAGTCCCGCGTCTCTCACATTTCAGGCTATCATTGGGGTTTAGTGATTAAGTGGATCTTTTAGAAGTACGAAGAATGACCCAATCCATTTTGTTACAACTTTCACATGACAAGCTGTCACTTTATGTCACACATGGCTTGTGAATGTCTGGGGTTTGGACTGCTGTACATGACTGGTACAAACTAGTTGAGGTTTTGCTAATTTTGAATGGATATATTGGGCATATTTTAGCAAAAAATGTTCTTGAGTGACTTTCTTATCAAAGCAAATTACATAAAAAAACAAACAAATCTGTGACAGACTTGCATGATTTGTTTCCTCTACAAAATAAAATCTTATTTTACAAAATTGTATTTATATGTCGACAGGAACTTTTGCTTGTATAGTCTGTTTCAGATTACAGTTTATTCAGGCCAACTCTGATTGACCTGAATATTGTTAATATTCATAAACAACATTTGAATAATCTTAAACAATATTTGAGTCATTGTTTTTATATAAACAATATCACACGAGTAGCCGTTCAATATCGCTCTATATAAGCATGGCTGTGATTCAGGCAGAGTGTCGTAGGTAATCACAGCGTGCTGATATACAGCAATGTCGCATGGCTATGAGTGTGATATTGAGTTTATACAACAGTTCGACAGCACAAGTGTGTAAAAAGAAAAACTACAACGGAGTGTCTTTAAAACCCTCTTTGTACAGAACTATTTCCTTCCGCCACGGATTCAAATCTCAAGTTTACAGTTTGACAGGTGTGACCGAGTCTCCATTACTAATTCTAAAATGTCACTTTAGAGCTAGTAATGATGGAACACCGAGTCGCTTCATTGAAGCTTATTGTATTATGTAGAGTAGAGTATTATGAGAGAGAGAGATAAGGCCAATTCACACCACAAAGACAAATGCCAACAAACAAATTGGCCGTTTGATTTAGAATGTTATGAAAAATAACTGTCATGATCACACTGCCCCAACCAACGCCGACAGGGGTAACACACTGATCTGACAAAACCCTGCTGTGCGGTGTGAATTGGCCTATAGACTAAGCGAGTGCATTACCTGCATCTAGCTGATATTCTTCAGGTCAATCTTATATTCATAATCACAAGATCAGTTTGAAAGTCTGCTGAGGAAAGCGATATCTTTGTCTTTGTCCTTTTAACAGTTAAGGGGATTTCATACGACAGCGCTAGTCAGTGCGTCTTATTGTTTACTACCTTGTTTCAGTCCCTTTTAATATAAAAGTATTTTGATACTGACTCGCTCATAAAGACTGATGGTAACTTTCACTGAAGTCGAAATCACTATCACTAACGGACCCTTTCTCAATACCAAATGCGGCATGCTATTTATATAAAATAATATTTATTGAAAAATAATACTTAACTAAACAAGATTAGCCATTATAAAAATATAAGAAATTTGTACAATAGGAAATAAACAAGCAAACAGTTCAGTCAAAAGTACAAATGCAGCGCTAGTTATAGTACAGGATTTCAGTTAAATTAAAAATATAATGTTATGAAACTTAACTTTGCCCGTAGCCAAATCCATTTTCTCTGCAAGATATAATTCAAGAGACGCAGTCATGGATATCAGTCATGGAAAATGTTAGTCCAGGATATTACAAGCATTTTGAGGGAATGTTGGAAGCTGCTCCGCATAGAAAAAGGGGTGTTGTAGGGTGCAGATGCAGACAGAGTTTTGTTTTTTGTTTAGTTAAATGTAATTGTTGCTTGCACCTGTGTTTTACCCTAGTTCTTTCACCTTTTTCATGTAGCTGGACCCTGTGACGCATCCACTGTGTGTGGTTGAATCAAGCTCAAGCCTAACTGCGGAGCTCTGGAAAACATTTGTGTTTACCTTTTCTTGTGATATATAAGCAGCATTAGAATCAGCATTAGATTAGAAGACTATTTTAATTCAAAATAACAAAATAAAATAACCCCCGCAGACACACCTATAAAGCATCTAGAAACATTTGAGTCTCTGCTCCTCATGTATTTCTTTGGTTAATCTCACTCTCATAATGTGAGTTAGACACAGGTTTGTTTTGTCTCGTCACTGCCAGCAATATTAAAGAATTTGCTTGAAATTAAAAGAGATGCTTCTCTCCTGTGCAGAGGTGATGATTGTTTCCAGTCAAGGTCAATATCTAAATGGACTTTGACGGTTTAGCTGGAGATTGGTGAGGTCTTTTCCCTCGGGAGAGTAAATAAAGACATTATGGCGTGTCAGGAGAGGAATAACAAGAAGCAGAATGAGTGGACACAGATCAATGCCCCGCGGAGAGAAGACAGACCTCAGTTCAAGCTCAAGGGTTATAGAACAATTAAAGCTCAGAAAGTCAGTCAGGTTCTCATTATTTAATGCTTAATGGAACATTTCATGCAAGAAAAAAATTGTAGGTCACTCATCATCATGTCATTTTTCCGTGGAAAAAAGAAAGGAGAAATTTAGATTTAGATTTTCTTACCACAAATGACATCTCATGGATTGTATTAAGATACTTTTATGGTGGTTTTGGTATTTGTTGTTTTTTGGGGTCCTTTTTGAAGTGTGACAGACATGGTCACTATAAACTGTTGTTATATTGCAAAAATTGCATACCGATTCTTCAAACATTTCTTTTGTATTATAAAAAATAACAGTATACAGGTTTGAAATGACATGATTGGAAGTAAAAATGACATAACTATTCCTTAACCCTTTAGAACCTGAAGCTAAAATAGGTGTTTTTCTCACATTTTGATTTTTTTGACTGTAAAATTCTAAAACAATGTGCTATCTTCATGTGCAAGGTGTCATGTTTTTCAGAAAAAGATTAGCTTTCAACAAATTACAGTTATTGACCGTTATTGTGTGTGGTGAGTTTGTAAATAGAATTTAAATAGAAAAAAAAAAAAAAAAAAACGAGAATAAATTTACTGATTTTTATTTAGAAAAAAAGCCAACAACTAGCCTCTGCTCTTAGTTTTTTATTTATTGTTTTGTTAGGGTCAGGTTGTCATTGTTTTTGTTGTATTTATTTTCAACTTGTATAATCACACTCGCGCACACACACACACACACACACACACACACAAAGAGATCGACAGATAGATAGATAGATACAGTAGATAGATAGATAGATAGATAGATAGATAGATAGACAGATACAGTAGAGTAGATAGATAGATAGATAGATAGATAGATAGATAGATAGATAGATAGATTCAGTTAAAAAATGCACTATATTTTTAAATGAAATATATTTTTTTATTGAAAATATTGCCCTCTCATGTTTTTGTTATTAGTGTAATAGGTCTATTAATAGTGTACTATTAGCTTAGTAGTGTAACTACCTTTTCAAATAGTACTTTGACTGCACTTTAAAACAACAATTAGCTTTTACCGAAAGTTTCGATTTGACTTCCACAACAGTGTTTAGAGCCAAATTTCAGTCAAGATGAGAAACTCAAGAGTGGTTGCATCAGTGCAGGAAGTAGAATATATGCTACACCGTTTTTAGAAGTTTTTAAATTACTTCTCCACAGAGCGACCCACATCTGCCAATTTGACAGCCAAATTTCATATCTTCCTCTTAAAGTTTTGATATAACACATTTGCTTCATAAATCATTCTGTTCTCCAGTATTATTAGCTGAAGATGAAAAACGGGCCCGGTTAAAGGATATCAGAGTATGTGTCTGTCTCTGTGTCGTCCCAGGGCAGTGCGGAGGGAGACGTGGACAAGAACAAATGCTGCACGCTGTGCAATATGTCGTTCACTTCAGCGGTGGTGGCCCAGTCACACTACCAGGGCAAGATCCATGCCAAGAGACTGAGGCTACTGCTGGGGGAACCACCTGCCATCACATCTAAAGGTAGGGGTCTAAGATCAGCTCCACACTGACTAGATCACCATATTAATGAAGCCCAAGCTGTTCCTGTATCAGTATTCATACTCAAATGAGTTTTACACACATATGACGTCTTAAGCAGTCAGCGGGGAAGTGACCTGTTTAGCCATGGACAGACTCTGAATATTAGATAATGAGGCAATTTGTTCTTGAGAATGAGTTCATTATTATTAATGCTCAAGTTATTTGATATTATTGATGTTTGATGAGGTGTAATATGATATTTGATAAAGACTACTGCTCACAGTTAGAGTTTTGGTCTTTTTTAAAAACCCTAAACCTGCATTTTATACATAGGTGCTTAACAAGCCCTGCAATGCACAAAAAAATACTCGGAAGATCTTAGCCACCGCATAGGAACCATGCAAAACACCCGTGAGATCGCAACGCAGTGCACTGAAAGCTACTTAGAAACCTTGGCAACTGTTTAACAATCGCACAGAGCCATTAATCGAACCCAACTGCGTAGTAATGCACAGTTTCACAGAAGACCTTAGCAAGTGTATAGCAACCACCCACAATAGTGTCTCAGATCTTAGCAACCGCATAGCAATGCACTAAAAACTATTATGTGCAACAGCGGGGTTCCGGAAGTAAAAACTCCATTCATTTTCTCCATAAGGAAACTGATTTTGAATGATAACTTTTAAACCTTTAAAGACAGCCTTACTCTGAGCTACGAGGTTGTTAATCGATGGTATTTGGCCGTCAGCCCGCATTATTTCAGCTAATTTTTTTAAATAATCATGCTTAACAGTAGAATTATTTTTAACAGTAAAAAACTACATTACCCATGATACTGTACAGAAAATTACACCAATCAAAGAGTCGAAAAAAGCAACATGTAGACAACAAGACAGACAGACAGACAGACAGACAGACAGACAGATAGATAGATAGATAGATAGATAGATAGATAGATAGATAGATAGATAGATAGATAGATAGATAGATAGATAGATAGATAGATAGATAGATAGACAGTCTTGTACCTTTGTCTTTTTGTCTGATTTAAAAAAAATTTTGCTTCAAATCAGAAGTTTGTAGCAAATGAACAATAATAAAAGAATACTTCTGGGACCAGCACACACATTTTCAGAAAATGTAACAATAAATAAATGAATGATGAAGTTGACAAGTGAGTTTCACAAGTTTGCAGTATATCAGGACTTGGATGTCCTTTTTTTCATTCACCCAAATGTGAGTGCATTAGGCATATCAGAGGTTTGTGTTCTCAAAACTGTCGCTTGTAGCATGTTTATGATAAGAGCAGGGCCTTTAGCAGGGACAACACATCACTGACTCACTTAGCATGCATAATTGCGCGTGGCCAAGGTACCTGAGGGTGCGAAAGGACCCAAAAAAGAAACAAATGGAAAGAGCTCAGAAACAACCCAGAATGACTGCTGGATATGCAGAAACAGATGAAGTAGGAGTGTACTGCCATTTCTCATTGACAAAAGACAGGGACCTCTTGATGTTGTTGTGTTTTATCCAAAGTGTCCATCCCATGCAACACAGTATATCAGGTTAAATCCATTCACAAGACTAGATTTGACATTTTCTGCAAAAAAAGTGAGCTTTGCCTGTTTTATCATCCACATCAGGCGGCAATCCTATGTCCAATCACTTAGAAAGTAATAGCGCACCTCTCATCAACAAGTCTCATGATTTAATGTGCTTTTATGTCCACAGCACAAATGGTGCGGGACGAGTTACGTGCTGATTTTTTAAAGTGTTTGTTCAAATAGCAAGCCTCACTAAGCAACACCATTAAAAACTATTAGTAACCATAATAGGGTTCAAGAAACTGTCCTTTTGTTGTTTGTTCAGCAGTCATAGTAGAGGCTCAGCATTATTCAGTTACATTTGGACGGTTGCTATACGGCTGCTTCCGCCGTCATAAAGGTCTTACATGATGATGATTTTTCTGGTCCGAATTTTTTGTTTTACATGTGTGGCGAAAAACGCAAATTTTGAGGCAGTTATGTTTATTTTTGAAAACATGTTTCTAATAAGTAACTAGCATTTGGGGTGTGACTGTGCAGTTTACGTTGCAGGACAAAACGGCCAAGTATATTTAACACAGACCGTACTTTAATCATAAACAGAAAACCCCCCATTTTAAACCCCCGTAAGAAAATCTCGAGGGAACCAGTGGCGAATTAGACTTCCGGGTTTTGACGTCACTCCTGCACCACTCTATAATGATAAGGTGTAGACGAAATGGACATGGTCAAGGATGGAATACAGATGAGGATATCGTTTTATTAAATTACCCTTGAGTGTCATTGCCATTATTAAACCGGTCCACTGCAGATCTACATAATTACTGTAATGCTAATTTGAACAAGATATTATTAAAGCTCCAAATGATAACACATACAATTATGTTGATCTTTTGCACCTGCACCCCTTTCCAATTATAAACAGAGACAGAATGTCAGAAGAAACAGGTACAAAACCGTTCAAAAGCCAGTAAGAATTTTATAAACTTGCAATTTACTTGAATTGCTAAATATTTTTATTTATTTATTTAAAAAAAATCTTGCTGACTTTAAATGGCAGATAAATGTTTAAATAATACGAAATACCAAAAAAATCAGAAGTTCTCATTCTCCAATTGTTATGCTGATAACATTATTTGCAATTGAAACATTTGTATATTAAATTGTGAAAAAGAAAAGCTAAATATAACCATTTTCACTTGTGGTCTCAGACCACTGTATTTGTCACGGTATAGCGTTTCATATCACACTCTGATTATGTGTTATAATGAAAACAACCTTCCATTCAAACACCTCAGGGAACCTGAGACAGAAAGAAGAAGAAAAAAAAAGGAAAAAGAATGCTTCTATTATCGAGTTATGTTGACACCTTCTATAAATACACCTGTAGAGCTGCCAGAATCTACCCAGATATCTTTCATTTGAAAAACAGGAGAAGAGCCAAGACGCCCCATTTGTGCCATTCGCCGTTCCTATTTTCTACTTGTTATGACACGGGATCGCTGTCAGTGTAGTCTTATGTTTACCGTTTACTATAACTGAGCATAATTAGCATCTTCTTAGCTTTGTAATAAAAATGCACTTCTTAAAAACAAACAGAGAAACACCTGCTAGTGTGAGACAAATGACCTCCCGTCTGTTTATGAAACAAATTCATCATATTAGTGTCATGAGATTCAGAATGCACCTTATTAAGTTCCAGCCACAGGGGACATTGTGTGTTCCTAATTTGCGGCCTTTACCCATGAAATATTTCAAACTGACATGAGACTGTGCCCTATGCCTTGACAGGTGAGATAGACCACTAGCAAAAAAACGTCAATAGAATCACGTATGCATGTCTCCGAAATTCTAACAAGTGTTATTAATGCTGTCACACACCTGCTGTTGTTGCTCCGATATTGGTAAATAAAATGAGAAATGGATATAACATTTGAACTGTAAGGCTGGCTGTTATCTTGTGTTGGTATGTTGCAAATGATTTAAACTACGATTATGTTTTGTTTATTTTTCTTTTGTTGCAAAAATGTCATAACTGCAGGACTCCATTAATAAATAGTTTGATATGTATATGTTATGTATATATACACAGTTGTAGTCACAGTATTGGCACCCCTTGTAAATATGATCAAAGATGGCTATAAAAATAAACCTTCATTGTTTATCGTTTTGATCTTTCATTAAAAAAAAAAAAAATCTAACCTTTCAAAATCCAACCTTTCATTGAAGTAAAAGAATTGAAAGTGTGGGCACCCTTTTATTAAATAATTTTTACAAGCTCCTTTTGCCAAGATAACAGCTCTGAGTTTTCTCCTATAATGCCTGATGAGTTTGGAGATCAGAGACCATTCCTCCATACAGAATCTCTCCAGATCCTTCAGATTCCCAGATCCATGCTGGTGCTTCTCCTCTTCAGTTCAGCCCACTCTTTTTCTGTAGGGTTCAGGTCCCTTTTGAAGTTCCAGTCGTGTCTGACAACTGAAAGCTGGAGTTTGTTTTTGGATGAGTGAGGAGGATTTTTCTTGAAACCCTCCCAAACAACATGGTGATGCAGGGGTTGTTTGAATTTTTTTTTTTTTTTTTTTGGCTTTCTGACCCAAGACTCAAGTAATCTCTGCAATTCTCCATCTGTGATCCTTGGAGAGTCTTTGACCACTCAAACTGTCCTCCTCACCGTGCATTAAGACAATATAGACACACGTCCTCTTCCAGGCAGATTCGTTACATCTTTAGTTGATTGGAACTAAAGAAGCTTTTTCAAAGCTTTAGCTATTTTCAGACACTTTTTTATTTTGTGGAGCTCAACAATCTTTTGCTGAACATCATAATTATATATTCTATATTCTTTGGTTTTGCTCATTGTGATGGATGATTAAAGGAAATTTGGCCTTTGTGTTTCCTCATATTTAAACTCCTGTGAAACAAGAAGTCATAGCTAGACAATTTTATGTTTCTAGTCACCCTGGTGTGCTAAAAAAAAAATATTAATGAGAATACACTTCAGAGATATTTTACTCATAAATATTCTAGGGGTGCCAATAATTGTGGCAAGTTTGTTTTGGAGAATGTTTTTTTTTTATTTCATACTGTGACTTACCCCCCACTTTCAATTATTTTATAGGTTAGATTTTTGCTATTTTTTAAATAAAAGATCATAAGGATAAACAATGCACATTTATTTTTACAGCCATCTTTGATCATATTTACCAGGGATGCCAACAATTCTGACCACAACTGTGTATCTCCTGTATGAGTGGTAAAGCTCAGTTTCTCTCTCAGTCATGGTGTTTTTTTAACATAAATAGTCTTTATCTGTAATAATAATAATAATAATAATAACTTTAATTTATATAGCGCCTTTCATAAAACCCAAGGACGCTTGTAGCCCATCTGTAGCCTGTTAATGAACAGAGCACCAATACTAAGTCTGTTTTGCCCTCTTGCAGAGGTGACAGTCAGTTCAGAGCATATGGTGACTGAAGATTCCCCGGGAAGTCCTTCCGTACATGGCAGGCTCTCACACCGTTACTGCCAGATGTGCAAGGCCTGGTTCAACAACCCCGGCATGGCTAGACAGCACTATGAAGGCAAGAAGCACAAAAAAAATGCAGCCCAAGCTAACCTCCTTGCACAGCTGGGTAAAAGTCTGGAGGATGGAGATGAACTGAACGGTATGTTCGGATAGGAACAGACAAAACATGGATATAAAGGGATCGTTCACCCAAAAGTGAAAATTCTGTCTGTCATTCTGAGATAAAAAAAAAAAAATAGCTGTTTGCTCTTTTCGAAGCAATTACAATAGATGAGGTCTGGAGCTTTAAAAAGGATGCAAAATGCCATTAAACTATAAAAAAATTGACTTATGCCACTTTGTGTGCGCTATATTCCAAGTCTTTTGAAGCAATTCAATAGCTTTGTGTAATGAACCAATCAAAGCAAAGTTTTTTTTTTGTTGGATCTTTTCAGTAAATCGTTTGGTCTTAATTTTTCTTTTACTGACTGACCTGGTCAGTAAATTTCCAGTCGAATTAAAAAAAAATCAGTCTGTTCATCACACAAAGCTATCGTATTACTTCAGAAGTCTTGGAATATAGCGCACCAGTTTTATGATTTGCATTCTTTTTAAGCTTAAAAGCTGAAATTGTGTTTCATGTTAGGGTGACTCCTTTTATGTTCTGTGGAAGAATGAAAGCCTTATAGGTTTGGAATGACATGAGGGTGAATAAATTATGACAGAATTTTCATTCTGGGCTGAACTGTCCCTTTAAAAAAGTACATTCAACTGTAACGATGTTTGTTTTCATCAGTCTGTTGTAATGGCTCATGAATAACCCCGTCGTAAATGCCACCGTTTAAGCACAGATATCATCTTAGGCCATTGACCATCCACAGTTTTACAGGTCTCAGTAGAGGCATTTTAATGGTCTTAGAGTCTTTTCACAAGCAGGCATTTCATTAACGATTTGCATTATTCAGCAGATAGCTAAAGAGTTTTCGTACAAGGCAGTTATCAATAGGTAATTAATGGCACGGCAAAGAGTCTCCCCGAGCACAAGATCTTTGCTCGCCAAACAAACCGTCAATGGCTGAAGTTGCAGACAGCAAAGCCACCTCGTTGGTGAGTTGACGCGCAGAGGGACGAGAACCATTTCGTGGGAGGTGTTTACCAGCTGCCATTTAGCCAAATGTTGGATTTAGATTCATATTGAAGTGTCCTGTCCCTCACGTCACGCTTGTGACTCATAAATATGACTCATTGCTGCAGTTTTCATTAAGGCTTCCCAGTACTGCACTCTCGGGATTGAAAACACTATTTTTGTGGCAGGCTTGTTATAGTGTGGTGAGTTTAAAATATTAGTCTTCTATAAACATAGACTAGAATAGTATTTGACATGCTATTTCTACTCACAAGCAATTGTCTGTTCTAAAGCCGTTAGTGGTGCTAACAGCAGGGGGCTGAATCAATGCTCAATAATAACGGAATCCCATTTTATGGCGTTTCAATCTGACTTCCCACTTCACAGGAAGCCAGCAACTGATTTTTCGAGCTTCACATAAGCTTATAATTTACTGGTCTGTCCTAGTTAAAGGCGGAGAACAGATTTGGTGTAGGAAGACAGAGCTGTGGGAGGATACGGCTTATCAGTGTATTTCACGGCCCCTTCTGTTGTGTTTTTAATCATTGCAAATGTGCACAATGCCAAAGAAAAGCTGAGGCAGTTTGGTTGCAAAGATGAGGCCAACGTAATCTATGACTTTGATTGAATATAGATCCGTGGTAAATGGTGTTGATGAGACTCCTAGATGAGCCTCCATTCATTATCTGGCCCGATCGCTCAGATACACGGATTACAAAAGATTCCTCTTGTTTAAATAAAGGAGGTTGTTGCTTTTTGGCATATTCAAGGGTCATGTGGCATATGCAAGGGTCATTTAACACCACCCATCTCCCCATAGTAAATCGCATCACACGCTAAATGGTTCCACGTGTATAGTCATGTTTGGACATAAGCTTATGTTCATGTGTGAAGGAGGCAAATATATATATATGATTTATGCATAACCTGTTTACTGGAGCATGGAAGCCTGCATTTCATGCCTTTATATTTCATGAATGAATGTCACAGAAACAAGTCCACGTCATATTTTATACCAACAAACAAAAGAAATGGTTGTATATTTTATTATTACATTAATATTAAATGTTCCATGAAGAAATGTATATCTATTTGTTGGACCATTAGGAATTTCTTTGCATTCTAACATTATTACTTTGATAATTAACCATTTTTGTTTTATTCTCATTAGTCTCAATGGTTATTTTCAATAGTATATTGTAAGGATCTATAATTTAGGGTACATTTCACATCATCCAAAAAGTGTAAAAACAATATGCTTTCTCAATAAATCAACGATTGGTTTCAGTTTATATGTTTTAGGAGTGTAACTTATCTGCTAGTTGGCAAGCTAAATCATTAAAATTTCACCATTTTAATACAATTACAAAGAAAAACTGTTCTCTTACGAGAGGTTCTCTCGTACTGCGTAATATCTTACGCTAGGGGAAAACCTCTTTTCCACGAGATATTGAAGCCAAAATTATCCTTAATGTAAAACGCGTGGCGGCAGCATGCAGACATAGGCAATAGGCTCGCGTGCCTATTGGCTGTCCTGCGGCAACTGCAGCAGCCTATCGAGAGAGGCCCTTGGTGACGTCAGATCCAATGGGGGCCGAGACAGGCGTGGCCTGGGCCTATAAATACAGCTCGATGGGCTGATATAATCTGATTTTTCATCTCTTCAGCAAAGCTCACGCATCGCTGGATCCGGAGTGAAGAAGCCGCGCCGTCTGAGAAAAAGCTTTCTGCGGGACGAGCCTTTGCATCTGAAGCCGCTGGCCTTCATCTCGCCGCCTTCAGTCGCTGTACCTGCTACGCTTTCCGGCGTTTATATCTTTTTACTCTGCCGAGTGTCTGTTCGCCGCTGCGATTCACACTCTCTATCTAAAAGAGCAGCGTCTTTTTAAAGATGCCTCGTTCCTGTGGCTCGTGCCGAGCCGCACTCAGCGACGGGGACCGCCATTTCATCTGCGTTTCCTGCCTGGGTAAGGATCATGCAGCTCTCGCGCTCGCCGACGGCGGCTGCCATCATTGCGAGCTATTGCCCGTGGTGACTCTGAGGACTCGCCTGGCATTTTTCTCCGAGTCTGCACTTCCGCCCGCTATAGTGCCGCGCCGTAAAATGCTTCACCAGCTTCACTCGAGACGCTCACCGACGGACAACGGCCGCCGTCCGCCGCCGCTTCCGCCATTGATGACGAGATAGCTGCATCTGTAGAGGAGGCCAGCTGCTCTATCCTGGCGTTGGACAGTGAGGATTGGGCGAGCTCTGTGGACCTCCCCCCCTCTGCCCGTGAGTCGTCAGGGAAACGGGCCAGCATCGAATCCGAGCTGATGCGTCTGCTCTCACAGGCCGTGGCCGGTACCATGGCCCGCTTGCCTGCACAAAAATGCCGTTTCCACGGCGACCCAGATAAATCACATAAAGAATGTAATTTCTGGTATTCTGGCCACGGCAGATGGTGTTATGAGTGTAATAAAAATGCCCACGACCCAGTGTTCATTCCTACACACAAGCACAGCCCACCACAGTACAGGGCTCGCACAAATAAAATCGACTCATGTCGATTGTGCATTAAATGTAGTGAATGTGCCCACAACCCAGTGCCCACAAACACTACACACTGCATGTCCCACGGTTTCTGTAAAAACGAAACCAACACACATACAGTCAGCTCAGGCTGACGGTGTTTTCAGTGCAGTAAATGTGCCCGCTGTCCCGCGCCCACATTCACTCACAGACATGTTAAGCCCCACAGGGTTTGCCCCGCTCGCTCTCTCTCAGCAAACTGCCATAAGGGAGTCGAGCGCGGCCGGACTGCCCGCCGTGATCGGCACGCCCCCCGCCTCAGACCCATTCTAGATCTAAGACAGCTGAACAAAGTGCTTGTGAAACGCCAGTTCAGAATGCTCACAACCAGGAAAATCCTCGCGCAGATTTGCCAAGAAGACTGGTTTATGTCAATAGATCTGAAGGACGCGTATTTCCAAATACAAAAAGCGTCACGTCACAGGCGATTCTTGAGATTCGCCTTCGAGGGCCAGGCATATCAATACACAGTCCTACCGTCTATGACTATGACAGCGCGACTGTCGCAAGAGCGCAGACTGAACATTCAGCGCATCACGAAATCCTTCCGCTGCGGCACTATAGTCCCGCTCAAAAGGTTTCAGAAAATGCTGGGTCTCATGGCCTCAGCATCATCAGTACTCCAGTTGGGTCTGCTTCGCATGCGCCCGCTGCAGTTATGGCTAAAAGCGTGAGTACCACCTCGGGCATGGGCCTCTGGTCTGTTTCGCCTCAAGGTCGATCAGAAATGCGTCACAGCTCTGAAACCTTGGAGAGCAATCGACTGGTACCAGTCAGGTGTAAACCTGGCGACTTCCTCGAGTGTGAAGGTCGTGTCCACGGACGCCTCCACCTGGTTCTTTGGCCAGTGGTCAGAACGGGAGAAGCTTCTACACATAAACTGTCTGGAAATGATGGCAGTCGACAACGCGCTGAGGCGTTTTTGTCCCCAGATAAAAAATCACCACGTCTTGGTCCGCTCGGACAACATGTTAGTGGTGGCCTATATAAATCGCCAGGGTGGCGTCAGGTCCCGAAACCTTTACAGGTTGACGGAACGCCTGCTGGTCTGGGCTCAGCACAATCTGCGCTCATTGAGAGCAGCACATGTTCCTGGTCACCTGAATTTGGGACCAGACAGACTGTCCAGAAACAATGTTCCAGCAGGGGAATGGTCTCTGCTCCCGCAGACGGTCCTACTGCTGTGGGAGACATTAGGCAGAGCGCAGGTAGACCTGTTTGCGTCCCAAGAAAACGTTCACTGTCCGAAGTTTTTCTCCAAGAGCAGCGATGCGCTGGCCCACGTCTGGCCCCGCTGCCCACTCTATGCCTTTTCCCCTGTCTCGCTCCTGCCTCAGGTATTGGAACGAATCAGGGAAAACGGATGCTCAGTGCTACTTGTGGCTCCGCTCTGGAAAAACCAGGCTTGGTTCCCAGTTCTGATGCAGCTGACAAGCACTGCCCCATGGCCAATACCGATGAGGAAAGACCTCCTCTCTCAAGCCAAGGGCTCGATTTGGCATCCTCGCCCAGAGCTGTGGTCCCTACATGCATGGGCCATCAATGGGTACCCGCTAACCTCCCGGAGGGAGTGTTAAAGGGGTCATATAATGCCATTTTTGTACAAGTTAATATGAATCTTTAGGGTCTAAATGAAAACTTTGTAATATACTTTTATTAAAAATTCTCATTAGTATTGTAAGAAACACTAATTTTACCTGGTCAAAAACAGCTCTGTTTTCAGCACGCTGTTTCAGTGCATATGCCTTTAATTGATAATGAGCTTTGCTCACTCCGCCCCCCCGTTCTTTGGTGCGTTTTGATACAACGCACGTGGAGTGTTGCCTTGACAACAGTTGAGGGTATTTTTGGAGAAAGAATGGCAGCGGGAGTCTCTGAGGACACATCTGTGCAACCGTATCAGTTTGAACCGGAGTCGGAGTCGGACCTGGAACAAGATGATGGCCCGAAGAGGTTTGACAACTAAGGCTCGAACAGGACGTTTCTGAATGGTTGGTTAACGTAATGTCACTTTGATCTATTTTTGTATGTACTGGTAGTGAGATACGAACGCTGTGTGTTTACTGATGTATACGTTATTATGTTTTCGTTGACAGATTGATGTTACAGTTAATGGTCATGAACAACTCTTTTTTAAGTTGATTAATATAAAGCTTAATAAAACTTTACACTCACTTCTTCTGGAGGTGCAGCAGAAACACGAATAGTTGGTACCGATTCTTTTTTCAGGAGCAGATTCTTAGCAAAACTAGCTTTATACTGACCCTCGTTTATAAAGCAGTCTGGTGAGAAATGATTCGCGCAAACATGAAAGCATTGACGTTGCTCGTGGGGAATAACGTTATTCCATTCGAAAACAAAACTCAGCCACTGCGTCTTCAGCGGTTCGGATTTAGGAACATCAAAATGACTGCTGTGTTTGTTATTACACCCAAGACCAGAACACCACAATCGCTTAGACGCCATTCTGCTCCAGCGTATCAACAATGGCGGACTATGATGACAGCCCGCGGGTCTGTGTTGAAACCCTGCTTTCAATCAACAATCGTGGGGGGACGTCCGACCGTGTGACGTCACAAAATCGAATGGCTCGATTTGAGGCATGGGAAAACATATAAGGAGATTAAAACAAAAACACTGGATGAATTTTTATCATTATATGATGGTTGTGTACAGGCACTGCCAACACACATTTCAGTACAATCAACTTGTAAAAGTGCATGTACCATTATATGACCCCTCTAAACACGATCACGCAGGCTAGAGCCCCGTCTACTAGATGACTCTATTCCTCAAAATGGTCTGTGTTTTCTGGCTGGTGCAAAGCTCGAGGCTTTTCACCCCTAGACTGTGGGGTTACGGAAGTTCTCTCCTTCCTTCAAGAGCTACTGGATAAGGGCAGAATCCCATCCACGCTCAAGGTTTATGTGGCGGCCATAGCAGCGTTTGCTATACCAGCGACTGGCCAGTCACTGGGGAAGAACGATCTGGTCATCCGCTTCCTTAAGGGAGCTAAGAGGCTGAATCCTCCCAGACCCCCTTCAGTCCCCATATGGGACCTTTCGACGGTTCTGGAAGCCATGAAAGGTGCCCCGTTCGAGCCAATCCATTTATCAGACATGAAACATTTGTCGTTCATTTGTCGTTCTTGCTTCAGTGAAGCGCATAGGGGATTTACAAGCGCTCTCAGTAAGCGCGACGTGTTTGGAATTTGGGCCAAATGACTCGAAAGTCATACTCAAACCAAGACACGGGTACGTGCCTAAATCCCTCAACACACCGTTCAGGGCTCAGGTTATTTCTCTGTCTTCCCTGCCGGTTTACAACGAGGAAAAGGACGCAAGCTTCCTTTGCCCAGTCAGGGCATTAAGAGCTTGTGTGTCTCGCTCGTCTGTTTTCAGACAGACTGAGCAGCTCTTCGTTTCATTCAGCGGACGTTCTAAGGGACTAGCCGCATCGAAACAGAGCCTATCCAGATGGATAGTTGATGCTATAGCGCTGGCTTACACTTCTAAAGGCTTGCAGTGTCCTTTGGGTGTCAGAGCGCACTCCACAAGAGGCGTGGCCTCGTCGTGGGCTTGGTATAGCGGGATTACCTTGCAGGATATCTGTATGGCGGCAGGCTGGGCCTCCCCGTCTACATTTATAAGGTTTTATAACCTAGAGGTTCCCGCCTTACAGGCTAAACTACTTTCGGTCTAAAGATCAGTGCTGTCTGCCCCGTTGCTTCGGCTCAGAATACTGAAACCGCTTGAGCACCGCTGGCTGATCGATAAAATAACTCCATGGGCAAAAGTAAGACCCATACTGTTACCCAGTTCAGGCCGAACATTTTCACCCTGACTGTGTGGAACACTGATGCTACTTATACTTATTGGGAATGACGCTTATAGCCTCTCTTCTCAGACTCTCTGTGAGTCCCTGGTGTTTATGCACTATATGAGCCCCGGGCACCTGCCCTTGGGACTTTGGTGTTGGATCCCAGCACGCACGGCGTTTTACACTGTGTTCCTCTTGCGTAAGGTATTACGAGAGAACCTCTCGTAAGAGAACGTACTCGGATACTAACGTATCCTCGGTTCTCTCTAGAAGAGGGAACGAGTACTGCGTATCTTTGCCGTGCATACAACACGCTCTGGTTCGCTTCGGCGATGAAAAACCAGATTATATCAGCCCATCGAGCTGTATTTATAGGCCCGGGCCATGCCTGTCTCGGCGGGACGTGACGTAGTGGGCGCGAAGCGCCCCCATTGGATCTGACGTCACCAAGGGCCTCTCTCGATAGGCTGCTGCAGTTGCCGCAGGACAGCCAATAGGCACGCGAGCCGTCTTGCCTATGTCTGCATGCTGCCGCAGCGCGTTTTACATTAATTCAAAATTAAGGATAATTTTTGGCTTCAATATCTCGTGGAAAAGCGGTTTTCCCCTAGCGTAAGATATTATGCAGTACTCGTTCCCTCTTCTAGAGAGAACCGAGGTTACGTTAGTAACCGAGTACGTTTTACATTGTTTAAAAATGTCTAATAGATAATGTTTTTGGGTAATTCTCATTCATATGATTCTAAGTATTGTTATATATTATGTAAAAAATGTATCTTTTATTAAAGGGGTGGTTGATTATGATTTCACTTTTCTAACTTTAGTTAGTGTGTAATGTTGCTGTTTGAGCATAAACAACATCTGCAAAGTTACAACGCTCAATGTTCAAAGCAAAGGGAGATATTTGCTTTTAAAGAAATCGTTTTTTAAGGACTACAACAAACGGCTGGTAGGAACTACACGAGCTTCCTCTCGGGTTAGTGACTAACCCTAAAATTTACATAAACCCCGCCCCCGAGAACACGCAGTCCATGTTGAGAAGAGGAAGAGCTGTTGTAGTCAAGCACATTTGTGAGTCAGCTCAAACTGTAGCATCCATCTTTTCACATGCAATAGAAAGTCACTCTGTGTGCATCTCACAACAGTCCTATATAAGCGATTTATAGATTATCCTGACAGAATATGCTAATTGAAGATAGTTAACTCCACATCAGCAACATAAATTCATCAACAATTCAGAGATCTCCTGTTGCATTCTACATGTTGTCACTTCTTAGTCTCTACATCTTTGTCTGACTCCGGTTTAAACATAAAAGGCAGAACAGTTTCTGACATTTTAGCGTGTGTCAGCGTGAGGTAATCGAAGCTGCTAACACACACACTCTTGAAGCTCCGCCCACTGTGTCGGGAGCTGCAGCTCATTTGCATTTAAAGGGCCAGACACAAAACGGTGCATTTTTGCTAACCCTCAAAAAGTGACAACTTTAACATGCTATATAAAAATATCTGTGGGGTATTTTGAGCTAAAACTTAACATACACACTCTGGGGACATCAGAGATTTATTTTACATCTTGTGAAAAGGGCATTATACCACCCTTTAAGGCAGTACAACAGTTACTGATATGTAAATAGTGTGAAAATGTCCTTAAAATAGGCTTTATTTTCTTTAATTTTAGAGTGAATTAGACCATTATGGTATTGCATTATGTTTTTTTTTTATTTATTTTTTTAAAGAATACCAATGTGCTTTATTCAGGCTGTATGCTAATTTACCTCATGTAATTTATGTACTGTGAAGAGATGGTCATATGCTCATGATTCTAGCTGTTGGCGTTTGTCTAAATAAGTCGTTATATTTACCCTGAGAAAAGATTTGAGGTCATTTGCTGTTGGTTTGTATGAAACAACACAGTTAGTTCTAGTCTAATAGATGTGTATGTATTTATGTATGCTCTTAGGCCCGAAGCGGAGTCACACATGTGAGGTTTGCAGTGTTACGCCTAACTCCGTGGCACAATATCACGCACATCTGCAGGGCTCCAAACACCAGAACAAGTGAGTTTCAGCCACTGCATCTCATCTTGAAAAAAAAAGACAAGAATCAAAGGTAAACCTGCAGTGAACCACATAATGTTAATGTGACAGAAAATACATCTCTACAGTAATATCAAAACGCACATTTTAATAAAGCATAATAAGACTAGGTGAATAAGGTTGGCGAATGATTCAGTGACTCACTCATAACACTCAAAAAGACACTCACTGGTAACCACATTCTGGTGTAACAATTCAGAAAGTGCCACTGAATGAATCAGTAAATAAATCTGAACAAATCTCTTTGGTGAACAGGTTCAAAAGATTTAATTTAGGAACTAATTTATGCTTTTTTATATTTTAAAATTTCTTCGGTCTGCAAAATTACAAAGAACACTCTATATCAGTAAGCGCTGTTTCTGAACTCCCTGAAATGCCTCGATTGTAGTCTTGAGGATTCTTCTGGGAACAAACATGTCACAATATTCTTCATTTAAATAATTGCTGAAATTACTGAGATAAAATAATTTTTATCTCACAATTCAGACTTTTTTCTCAGAATTGTATGATATACTATTATTGCAAGTTATAAAGTAAAAATATCGATAAATAAACTAACAATTGCGAGTTATAAAGTCAGAATTGCGTGATATAAACAATTGCGTGATATAAACTCAGTCTTTTTTTTCTTCATAACTGGACTTTATAACTCGCAATTGCGAGTTTGTATCTTAATTATTAGAAAAAAGTCAGAATTGCGAGAAAATAAGTCAGAATTGCGAATTCTGAGAAGTAAACTCGCAATTGTAAGAAAAAAAGTGAGATAAAAAGTTGCAATTATCTTTTAAATAGTTTTATTATTTGGCAGAAACAAGCTTCCATACCCGACACGTACACAAAAATAGGGACGAGGCCTAGTTGAGTTGCGAAAGTAGTGTGTTGAAACTGGCGGTTATGGTAAGGGAATTTCTGAAACACTCTCGAAGCAGTTGATCAATCACAACACACTGTTCCAGCCAACCAATCAGAGCACCTTTTCGGATGGAGGGGCTTCATAGAGACGGGAACTAAACAGAGTGTTACAGGCAGACTGGGAAAAGAGGTGCTGCAATAAATCCTATTAGTATACCCCAAAAACAAAATCAAGACTTTGTAAAAGGGCATAATACTGTCAGTCATCTTCAAGTGTTGAGAAGCAAAATCTCCACCACGAAAAATGTTCAGCATTCAGAGACGTCATAAATGTTGTTGCTATTGTTATTAATTATACTGACATGTAATCGTTGTAATGCGGACACTGTAAAATGCTACAGTATGGAAGTGCGCAAGACCAGTTCTCATAACAGCAGACACGAGGTGTTAACTTGCATTGTGTTCATGCGAGAGAAGTTAATGGAGTGTTGTATACGCGATCAATATCTGCTCTGAATCAATATTCCGCCTGACTGGACCATGTCCTCGCGGTACCGTACAGGCCACAGTTTCCATGGGAAGGCTGCATCGGAGCAGGCAAGGTCAGAGCATAGCGTGCTGGGATGCATGGAATGTTAATTAGGTAGAGATGAAGGTGAAGGAACGTGAGATGCATGATGGGAACCGGCAGGCGTGTCCAAGCTGTCACAGAGTGGCACGCAGCGGAATTATTCCACCCTCTCTCCTTGCATGATGTGTTCATAAGCATGCAGAAGAAGAAGCTGCGATGAGCATACACAAGGACGGCCCTCAACGAATGGGACCCTGAGGCACATTACAGGAGCTAATGTTTTAATGTGGCTGAATCTTGAGAGAGAGGCTTTAGGGGACAAAAATACTAATCATCAACAGTACACTAATATTACTAAACTTTTGTATGTAGTTTCAGTCTTGAATATTCGGTTACATTGTACTTAATGATTTGTTCCATTGTAATTAAAATCATACTGGTACTGGTTATTAAAATCATACACCCTATGGGTGTCCCCATTCAGGGTTCAATTTTAGGTCCCTTACTTTTTAGCATTTATATATTTCCTCTTGGATTGCTCTTAAGATCACTCAGGCTTAATTATCGCTTCTATGCAGATAATAGTCATATATATATATATATTTACTCTAAGTCTGGAAAAAACGTGGATATTATTATTATAAACAAACAAAAATAGCCATGTCAACTGTTGGAGATTCATCTCAAAGACTCAAATCTTTTTAATCTGTTCACACAAAAATGAATTTGTTGGTTCAGTTATCTTTCTGCAGGTTATACAGTCATGCCAGTTCATAGTTGGTGACAAGTGACCGGTTTTCCATGTTATGAGCGATTCACCTGATTTGTTAAAACCGACTTTAAACATACACTATTGGTTAAATGTTTAGAAGAATTAAGATTTTTTTTGTGTTTAAAAAAAAAGTCAATTATGCTGAATAAGGCTCCATTAATTTGATCAAAAATACAGTAGTATTTTAATATATTAAAAATGCTATTTTTTCCTGTGATGCAAAGCTGAATGTTCAGCATCATTACTCCAGTCTTCAGTGTCACATGATCCTTCAGAAATCATTCTAATATGCTGATTTGATGCTCAAGGAACATTCATTATTCTCAATGTTGTAGTGTATGGTTTCCGCAAAAATATTAAGCAGCAAAAACTGTTTTCAACATTGAATTACCATCTATCTATAAATTACAGGAACGTCTGTCTGTCTGTGTGTGTGTCTGTCTGTCTGTTAATCGCATATCTCTCGAACCGTTAGTCCGATGGATCTCAAACTTGACAGGTGTCTTGCTACGGGCACGAGTAAGTGCAGTGCCGAGTTTGACGTTGTTTGGATTAGAAATGCAAAAGATATCGCTAAATATATCGCTAAAAGAAGCCCACATTGGTTTTTGCCGCTCTAGCCGCTGGCCACTCCCCCTCTCACACTGCACACTGAGTGAGCACAGCGCAGGACCAGAGACAGAGGGACGAAGAAAGCAGATTTGCTTCCTGAATCGTCGCGCTTATTCATTTGTTAACTGAATCTGTAAGTCAGCTACGCTGTTTACTTCTTAATATTATATTTAATGCGTTCGCAGTCTCTTTCACGGCCATCATTTGTAGTAAATGCTATTAACGTTATGTGTCATGCGCGCTGAAGTTAGCATGTATATGTTAACTATGTGATGTTTAATGTGCTATGTTAACTATGTCATGTTTAATATGCTATGGTAAATAGTTGCCCTGCCTATTCAACAGTTTATAGCAGGCTTTAACGAGCTTAACGAGTATAGTAATCCTCTTACCGATCGTGTGACAGCAAATCTATGAAGGTAAAATGATGACATAAAGAATCGCATGCACAGGGTAAGATTTGTGAAAGCGTACATAAGATTGCAAGCGTAAATTAAATTTGCATACGCAAGAGAAGATTTGTAAAGGTGTAAATCGCCCTTCAAGTGTAAGAAAAAAATATTTGCAGCATTTAACTGTTATTTGTAAGTGTAATTCATGCATTTTGAAGCTGCAGCTTCATGCTAATGCAAAATAAATAGGATCTGTATTCTTCAAACTTTCATTTTTCCGCGCTTATACTTTTGGCACCGTTTTTGCGCACAAACGCGGCCAAAAGCACTGCAAGCCTGTGAACAGCAATTTGCAACCGAAAACAACAGAGGCAGAAACTGCAAAACAGATTAACTGCGTAAAAGTTTCATATGTTTATTTAAAGCTACGCTGTTTACTTCTTAATATCTATCTATCTATAAATAGATATTAAGAAGTAAACAGCGTAGCTGTTTTTACTTCTTAATATATTATTTAATTCTGGTGCGCTTAACATTATCGCTATCTTTCACGGCCATGTAAATATATTACTGTGTCATGCTTAACATTATCGCTATCTTTCACGGGCATGTATCTGTATCCACTCTAAATATATCCTCCAATGCATCATTATGTCAGTATCAGTATGCTTTCTACCATGCACAAATAAAAATGTCACTGAACTTTTCCTGTGTAATTGTAACAATGAGCACTCAAACACACCAAACCAACAATTGCTAAAAACACACACAAAACAATTATTTTGCACGGGCATTTTGCACTAGTTAATTATAATTAGAAAATAACTGAGCACCAATAATAGATGATAATAATTAAGCACCAAATCAGTGCTCGTGCTATAAGACTTTGAAGACATCAGTCCTGAACAAGAACGAATGGTTCACTTATAAGATTCATTCAAAAACAGATTCGTTCACAAACAAAACCCCTCTAATGTGAACTGTTACAATATGTTATTAAAGGTTATCACATGTTACTTTTTAAGCATTACATTTTTCCTTGGATGTTGTCTCTTATACTTTATATCTCTTATTTGTGACTACGGTTGGGAAAGCGATCACTCATGCACGCAGGGCTTGAAATGAAAGCGTATGCGTACGTTCAGTAAGCATGTTTAGTCATGGGTGCTTAGACACTCCCTTTGAACTACTCACCTCAGTAAACACTGCTAAACAGAGCAGGGGATTTGGTCGTTCGCCACCAACATTTCATGCTTTTTGTGTTGTTCCAGTTTGTTCATCTTTGAATCCCCATTCCATTAACCTTACAAACACATTTAAACTAATCATTTGACTGAGTGCAAGGAGTCACAAATCTGTCCGGAGGCCGGTGTCCGAATCTCCGGAACTCGGCTCAATTGAGCGTTTGCTGCCGGATTTGGAAATTCAATGGCGGATCAATGCGAGAACAACGAGTGTCACTGCTGGAGTTCTGTTTGGGTCACTAATCACACACCCTTAATCAGTGTTAATGAAATTACTAATGAATGAAACTACTAATGAAAGTGTTTTTTTTAGTTCACACAAAGCACATTACATCTTGCAGTATTTTTATGTACTAACTATGCAAAACATAACTATTTTATGAGGTGGTGATTTTATATGAATTTGTTAAATGTGGTTTGTTCGGAAATTTTTGATTTTTGAATTGGCCACCATTTCGCAAAACGTATAATAATTACTAATTGCCATGAGAAGCGTTTTTGTATAGCGGGTCAATTGGCTCAACAAAGTGAATCCTAGATTAACCAGGTACACAGCATAAACGTAATATTACAATTTTTATCTTCACAAAATTATACACTGTAAAAAATTATATGATAAATAATTTATGACTACATGTTTTTATATTGCTTTAACTTATCACAATAACTTTTTTATAAGTTATACAAAATTCAACTCATTTTTGTAAGTCAGTTTGATGTAATTTAAGTTGAAATGTACTTCAAGTTGATTGTACTTTAAAATTTAAGGCAGCAACTTTTTTTACAGTGTACAAACGCACAAGTGAACTTGAACTAAGTTATTTACTAGTCAGAATGTCACATTGTAAATATGCTAATAAATAAAAAATGTTACGATTTCACAATATTATATTACATTAGTACTTAAGGTATTTAATTGATGCATTGGTATGTTTAAATGTATATAGCCTATAATATTTAAATATTTGCTTTCATTGTAAACTTTCTTGTACACTAAAATGTTATTTTCGTTTACTAAAATTAAGCTGCTTTTTTTTAACCATCGAGCCGAACGGTAAGGAATGGTTCAGTTATATTTTTGAGCTTGGTTCGGCATGGCACGATTACAAACCATTCTCGCCTGGGCCGGATCGCCACGGAATGGAACGGTTAAGGAATGAGAACAGTTTGGACCAGCGGTGGAAAAGTGACTTTAGATGGCTATTTAGCCACTAAAATGAAATATATAATAATATATAAAACATTAACTAAAGAAAAGGCATGACAGTCAAATCTGTTTTGCTTTCCCTCTTAGCATGAAGAACAAATGAAGTTTGATGGAGCATCTCTACTCCTGAAACTGAGGATCTTTCTGTGGAAGTCAAGGCAGCTTCTGCCCCTCCGTCTCAGACAAATGACAGCGAGATCTGCTCATATTCTCTTGATCCATTGTGTTTATGACAGTGGTATGGACACTACCAGTGCAGATAGAGACATGTTGATAATGATTACTATAAACCACAGTGCATTTTGCTAAATTACAAAAAAACCTTAAAAAACATTCACATCCTGCACACTTTAATGTATATATTTAAGGCATGTAAAATGGGCACAATTTTTGCTTTATTTAAATGTGTTGTGTTAAATAAATTATTTTGATTGTAATATTGTGTTTATATTTTAATTTAAATGTACATGTAAGAAATATACATTTTGTATTAAAGTGAAAATGTCAATCAAATATCATCTGAAGATGTATGAAATTTCCTTGTTTTATAAAGTCTGAGGGAATTGTTCTCTAATGATATTAAAACGAGACATTTTGAAGCTGAATTTAATCAGCAGATTCACAAAAGTAATGGACCGAAGTACAGGAATAGTTTTAAGTCATCTTCCTTTGAAATCTTCATTATTTCAACAAGACTTTACAGTGATTTGTGTTGCTCTAAATGTTCAGCAAAAGCTTTTTATTCTCAAAATGGATAGAAAATAAACCATTTATCTCTTGCAGTGAAGAAAGAAACCCAAGAGATCTCTATAGGCATTATTGAGATGAAAAGGGTGATATTATGTGCTATATTTTACTGAGATGGGGTCATTTTAGTGCTTTTTACAAAGGACTGATTTCCATTTGTGCACTGTTCCAATTAAAAGAGACACAATCTAATTATTCTCTAAATGACAACACCTTGAAATAGCATTATTTATTAAAATATTGCATCCTAGAAAATAAAACAACTCTGACACAAATAAGATGAGTGGTTCTGTTTTTTTTAATGTTATACATGAAGCTTGAATTTAAACACTATCAAGTTGAATGCTCGACTTCAAGTGTTGTGATGCTAATTCACACTTATTTAGGAAGTGCCACTGTCGTTTTTGTACTGGAATGACAGGCAAACAACAGAAGCCATGATACTCCTATAAATCACAGCTCAGTGTTTCCCAAAGGCCTTTTTTCTTACAATGTTTTTCATTCTGCAAATGATGTATGTGTGGTAAGAAACCCCATAGGGCTTTAAAGATAAAAGGACCCGACGTAAGACAATCTTTAAAAATGAAATGGATTGCAAGTGATTCCCAACAGACAGTGGCTGGATCTCTGAAGGGCCCGGAGGGGTTTCCTTTGTACAGATCCGATGACTGTTCCCTGATTTACTACTGATGACGCTCAAAAAGCATCTCAAAATCTCCATTTTAGTAGGTTTTATCATGCTTTGAGGAAATCAGCTACTTAAATATTAAAACATGGAACTAAAGTGTCATGATATCAAAATGCAGCTTTGGTTAACAAAAATGAGCCAGTTTAAACATTGTGGTTTAATGAAGTTGTTTTGTTGCAAACATATACAACGCAACTGTTCCATTTCTGTGGGCTCAGCTCATTATGCATCTCTGCACTACCATGATTGATTATTCAAATATATGCAAATAGCACAGCAAGGGCCTCTGATAATGTATTCATAACTTTTACCTTTTAAATAATGGCATATATAGTGGGTTTGGAAGAGAAAAATGTCATGTGACAGAAGCCAAAATTGTTCTGTCATATATGAATTAGCAATTGAATTGTGTAATTTTGCTGTGGAGCACATTTTCTGTAGTCTCCATTAAGTACAGTAGAGTAATCTTGCTGATTTCAGCTCTTTTGCTCTGGCAGTGATGTAAATAGTTTGTTCAGTTTCAGTGTGTAATAGCTTTACTCACACTGACAGGGAGTCCAACATCATCACGTAGCGCGAGCTTTAAGGCAAGAGGCGATTTTTCATTATAAATTTCCAACAGATAATCCCAAAGGATTCATGTATGTTCTTCTAGCTGCTTTTTCATGTTTTGATTACCTGAGATGAACTGGCTGTGCCTCTTTCGATTTCCCCAGTGCAAATTGCACTGTTAAAAAACAAGTCACTAAATAGACAGTGATAGTCACCCTGCGTCATTTGTCACGAAGATCCAAGGGCACGCTTGTAAACTTGTTTGTTTTTACTCATTCCCGGAGAATCCCAGAATTTTTTGAGGGCAAAATTCTTCCATATGTTGGCAGCTGTAAGCTGGAGGATTTCATCGGTTTGAGGGCTGTGGTTACTTTGTTTTCATTGGCTCTGAGTCAATTCAAAAGCTGAACTTAGACTAACTGAAGACTGGACTAAAACAATTTGCTCATTAGGACTGATGGATGGCCCATGTGTTGTTCCAAACCTGAATGACTTTCTTTTCTCTGTGGAACATAAAAGAGGATATTTGTGAGAATTCTTTTCATTGTTTCAGTGTTTTTTCATCCTAGTAGAAGTAAAAAAAAAAAAAACATCCTGTACAAATCTTCTTTTGTGTTCCGCAGAAGAAAGAATGTCAGGTTTGGAACAACACGAGTAAGTGAAAAGAATTTTAAATGTGGATGAACTATCCCTTTAAAGAATTACAACAGACAGAGAGATAGAGAGATAGATGGATAAACAGACAGATAGATAGATCAATACACGTAGACAGATAGTTATATATATATGTACAGACAGACAGACAGACAGACAGACAGACAGACAGACAGACAGACAGACAGATAGACAGATAGACAGATAGACAGATAGATAGATAGATAGATAGATAGATAGATAGATAGATAGATAGATAGATAGATAAACAGATATAGATAGATAGAGGTACAGATAGATATACGTACAGACAGATAGATCGACAGATAAACAGGCAGATAGATATTGATACATAGATAGATAGATATTTTATTATAAAAGCTTTTCATGAAAAAGGTGCTTTACTTGAATACATTGCATTACATACTACAGGTACATTAAAACACAAAAGGTGCAAATCCTTTATTGTCCAGAAGGTGGAGTCCTCTGCACAGTTTTGTACAAAATGACCTTGATATAGAGTCAACCCTGCTGGATCTGTTTTACTTGACTGTACTAACCATTTATAAATTAACAGTACTGACATTTTGAAAAGTACATACATTATCTCTAACTATGAGAATATACTTGAAGGCAACTAGTCCCCAGGAATAATTTCATATTATCTCTGGAATATTTATTGTGAGTTTTACCTTTCTAAAACGTGGTGTCATGGGCACACAAGTGTGTACGCGGCTTTACATTTTCAGAAGTATTGATGGTCAATGACAAAAGGTGAAAAATAAGTTTGTAAGCAGAACTTTAAATGTGACATGAGGACAGCACACCAGCTTCAGTTAAAGGTGTTGACTGAAGTTTAATCAGCAGAACACACACACAGTTTCAGTGTTTATCACGGCCTGCTGTGACCTAGAGAGTAAACACACGGGAGGGACACTTTTACCACAACATGCCTGTGTAAATGAAAACATTGCAAATGAAAACAGTGTTAAAAAATGAAGAGGTTGTGTATTTTTTTAAAGGATAAAAAAAGGGTAAACAGTTACTGAACAGGACTCAACCGTTATCAAGCAGCCCAAATATATTATTTTCTGACTTTTTATTTAATAAAAACAGAACTAAGTAAATCAGACAGGATTAGGAGGATGAATAATATTCCCACAAAGTCTATCTCTGAGGCATTTTTCCGTCTCATACTGAAACACGTCAACGTTTGGTCTGACATTTGATTTCCGAGGAAGAGTTTAGTCCTCGGGCATTCAGGACAGTCTGACCCCATGAAAGGATCTACTGTATTATATTTCTGTAATATGTCGGCTTTCATCTTCATATAGTACAGACTTTTGCCAGTTGCATTTTATAAGTTTATCTTTTGATAATATTGTGTCATTTGTGTCAGTCTATTGAAAATGGGATTAACCAGATTAGTTATTTTAAATGAATTGGTCACACTTTATATAGGTGTCTTTAACTACTATGTGCTTACATTAACATTTATTTAATAAAATATGTACACTATTATTAGGTACACAATAAGTGCATTATATAAATGTAACGATTAGACAGGAGTGAAGCGGAGAGAATCCAAATGCATGTGCTAATTTAATAAACAAACAGGTAATCCAGGGCAAAACAACAGAACATGAACTCGGAACACGGAACAAGAAAACAGCTACAAGCAACAACGACCGACAACCAACAACTGAAGCACAGAGACTAATAACCAAGACATGGAACAGCTGTGGACACTGAGAAAACAATTAACAAATGACAAGACACATGGCAGGATCACATGACAAACAGGGAATCACGTGACAGACAAGAACAAGGAACAAGACACAAAACCCACACCGTGACATAGTCCCCCCTCTATGGGCGTTTCCTGACGCCCATCACAACGAAAAAACACAATAATTCAGGAGTGTGGTGGAACGGAGGTGGTCTTGGGGGAGGGATGGAGGGCCAGGCCCGTGCAGGGGAATAGGACCAGGACATGGCAATGGCGGGCCAGGGTTGTGGAGTGTGGGTGGACCTGGGCCGTGGAGCTTGGGCGGACCCGACAGTTCAGGGGGCCAGGGCGGATCCGACAGTTCAAGCGGCCAGGGCGAAGCAGGCTGTGCAGGCGACCAGGGCGGAGACGACCCTTCGGGTGGCCACGGTGGAGAAGACCCTTCGGGCGGCCACGGTGGAGAAGACCCTTCGGGCGGCCACGGTGGAGAAGACCCTTCGGGCGGCCACGGTGGAGAAGACCCTTCGGGCGGCCACGGTGGAGAAGACCCTTCGGGCGGCCACGGTGGAGAAGACCCTTCGGGCGGCCACGGTGGAGAAGACCCTTCGGGGGGCCACGGTGGAGCCGGCAGTTCAGGAGACCATGACGGCGCGGCCTCCATGGTCCTCTCGCGGGACCTACTGCCCCCCCCCCAAAAAATTTCTGGGGGCAGCTACGGGGTCATAGGCTGGAGCAGGCACCGGCTCAGGAGGAACAGACACCGGCTCAGGAACAGACACCGGCTCAGGAACAGACACCGGCTCAGGAACAGACACAGACAATGTGGTGGCAGCCATCTTTTCCGGAGACACTGGCTCGGCGTGCATGACGCGAACAGTCTCTGGATCGGCAGACTTGACGTGAACAGTCTCTGGATCGGCAGACGGGACATGAACAGTCTCTGGCTCGGCAGACGGGACGTGAACAGTCTCTGGCTCGGCAGACGGGACATGAACAGTCTCTGGATCGGCAGACGGGACATGAACAGTCTCTGGCTCGGCAGACGGGACGTGAACAGTCTCTAGCTCGGCAGACGGGACGTGAACAGTCTCTAGCTCGGCAGACGGGATGTGAACAGTCTCTAGCTCGGCAGACGGGACGTGAACAGTCTCTGGCTCGGCAGACGGGACGTGAACAGTCTCTGGCTCAGCAGACGGGACGTGAACAGTCTCTGGATCGGCAGACGGGACGTGAACAGTCTCTGGCTCGGCAGACGGGACGTGAACAGTCTCTGGATCGGCAGACGGGACGTGAACAGTCTCTAGCTCGGCAGACGGGACGTGAACAGTCTCTGGATCGGCAGACGGGACGTGAACAGTCTCTAGCTCGGCAGACGGGACGTGAACAGTCTCTAGCTCGGCGTGCTTGACGTGAACAGTCTCTGGCTCGGCAGACGGGACGTGAACAGTCTCTGGATCGGCAGACGGGACGTGAACAGTCTCTGGCTCGGCAGAATGGACGTGAACAGTCTCTAGCTCGGCAGACGGGATGTGAACAGTCTCTAGCTCGGCAGACGGGACGTGAACAGTCTCTGGCTCGGCAGACGGGACGTGAACAGTCTCTGGCTCAGCAGACGGGACGTGAACAGTCTCTGGATCGGCAGACGGGACGTGAACAGTCTCTGGCTCGGCAGACGGGACGTGAACAGTCTCTGGATCGGCAGACGGGACGTGAACAGTCTCTAGCTCGGCAGACGGGACGTGAACAGTCTCTGGATCGGCAGACGGGACGTGAACAGTCTCTAGCTCGGCAGACGGGACGTGAACAGTCTCTAGCTCGGCGTGCTTGACGTGAACAGTCTCTGGCTCGGCAGACGGGACGTGAACAGTCTCTGGATCGGCAGACGGGACGTGAACAGTCTCTGGCTCGGCAGAATGGACGTGAACAGTCTCTGGCTCGGCTGGCACGACGTGAACATTCTCTTGTGCGGCGGGCACGACGTGAAGATTCTCGTGCATCGGGCACGACGTGAACATTCTCGTGCGGCGGGCACGACGTGAACATTCTCTTGTGCGGCGGGCACGACGTGAACATTCTCTTGTGCAGCGGGCACGACGTGAACATTCTCGTGCGGCGGGCACGATGTGAACATTCTCGTGCATCGGGCACGACGTGAACATTCTCGTGCGGCGGGCACGACGTGAACATTCTCTTGTGCGGCGGGCACGACGTGAACATTCTCTTGTGCGGCGGGCACGACGTGAACATTCTCTTGTGCGGCGGGCACGACGTGAACATTCTCTTGTGCGGCGGGCACGACGTGAACATTCTCTTGTGCGGCGGGCACGACGTGAACATTCTCTTGTGCGGCGGGCACGACGTGAACATTCTCTTGTGCGGCGGGCACGACGTGAACATTCTCTTGTGCGGCGGGCACGACGTGAACATTCTCTTGTGTATCGGGCACGACGTGAACATTCTCGTGTGCGGCGGGCACGATGTGAACATTCTCTTGTGTGGTGGGCACGACGTGAACATTTTCTTGTGCGGCGGGCACGACGTGAACATTCTCTTGTGCGGCGGGCACGACGTGAACATTCTCTTTTGTATCAGGCACGACGTGAACATTCTCTTGTGTATCGGGCACGACGTGAACATTCTCTTGTGCGGCGGGCACGACGTGAACATCCTCGTGTGCGGCGGGCACGATGTGAACATTCTCTTGTGTGGCGGGCACGATGTGAACATTCTCTTGTGCGGCGGGCACGACGTGAACATTCTCTTGTGTATCGGGCACGACGTGAACATTCTCGTGTGCGGCGGGCACGATGTGAACATTCTCTTGTGTGGTGGGCACGACGTGAACATTTTCTTGTGCGGCGGGCACGACGTGAACATTCTCTTGTGCGGCGGGCACGACGTGAACATTCTCTTTTGTATCAGGCACGACGTGAACATTCTCTTGTGTATCGGGCACGACGTGAACATTCTCTTGTGCGGCGGGCACGACGTGAACATCCTCGTGTGCGGCGGGCACGATGTGAACATTCTCTTGTGTGGCGGGCACGATGTGAACATTCTCTTGTGCGGCGGGCACGACGTGAACATTCTCTTGTGCAGCGGGCACGACGTGAACATTCTTGTGCGGCGGGCACGATGTGAACATTCTCTTGTGTGGCGGGCACGATGTGAACATTCTCTTGTGCGGCGGGCACGACGTGAACATTCTCTTGTGCGGCGGGCACGACGTGAACATTCTCTTGTGCAGCGGGCACGACGTGAACATTCTTGTGCATCGGGCACGACGTGAACATTCTCTTGTGTGGCGGGCATGACGTGTTCAGTCTCAGGTTCGGTGGCCCTGACGTGATGCGTAGGCTCGGCAGGACTGACGTGAAGTGCAGGCTCGGCAGGACTGACGTGAAGCAGCTTTTACCCCTTGTAAATATCAAGCCACTTATCTGAATGGCAATGTCAATATACTGGGTTAACGTCCATTGTGGGGTGTTGTCAGGCATAAGGTAATCCAGGAGGTCCGTAAGGCCGTAGCGGAACATGTCTTTCAAGACATCATCGCCAAAATCCACCCCATAGCAGAGCTCGTAAAATTCCTCCACATACCTCTCAATCTGGCGGTCACCTTGGCTGAGGCGAAAGAGACGGGTTGCTGGGTCCATGTTTGACATCGCTACTGGATCTTGGTGTGGCGAAGTTTTCTGTCACAAACTGCTCCGAGACACGAAGGTTGAGATCCAAATGCAGCTTTAATAGGGGCAATCCAGACACGTAATCCAATAACAGGCAATAGGTCAAAACACAGGTAGGCACTCCACACCAGACTATTATCACTCCCTCACAAACTACATTTCCCACAACTCACTGCCCGGACTCATCACTGATTGTATTCACCTGCGTCTCATTACCCTGTTAGTCTCTGTCTATTTATACCATGTTCACTCATTCACTCACTGCGAAGTTTTGTACAGTATGTTGTTGCACTGCACTTCCGAGCGATTTCCCTGGTTTCATGTCTCTTGGTTTTTTGGATTTCTTGCCTGTTCCGTGGATTACTGACCCCTGCCTGTTTTGTTTGTTTGTTTGTTTGGACTGCCTACCTGTGTTTTGACCTATTGCCTGTTATTGGATTACGTGTCTGGATTGCCCCTATTAAAGCTGCATTTGGATCTCAACCTTCGTGTCTCGGAGCAGTTTGTGACAATAAAATGATTAAATGTTATTGTAGTTAAAGACACTTAATATAAAAAGGGACTGATGAATTTGACTGTGAGTGTGTGTACGGTTGATGTCAGAGTGACTCACACTAACTAACAGCGCTGCCCACATACTGATGGAAAGATCACTAATAAATGACAACTCTTGGCTGAAATGTAACTTCCCCTCTCTCATTAATCCACAACTGTTAATCTGGACAGTTTAATCCACTAAAACAACAAGATCATCATCAACATATATTTAATAATAATTATCATTATACATTTAATGTATTATATTTAATCATGTTAAATATAAATACTATAATATTAGTACATTATATTAATAATAATAATAAATTATTTTAACAATAATAAAGAAGTTTATTTCTATTAATAATTATAATGTATTATTATTAATATTATTAAATAATTACTATATATTTGATATTACATTTGATACATTATTATTAAATATACATCAAATGTGTAAATATCTATGCAATAATAACTGTTGTAAAATAATAGAAATGTATTTCTATTAACAACAACAATCATCAACATAATAATAACAATAATAATCATCATCATCATAATAATTATGCCTAAATATATTATATATTATAAATTGATGTTAAATATACATATATTAAATGTTTAAATATAAATACTATAACATTAATACATATGCTAATTTATTTTAACAATAATAAACAACTTTATTTCTATTAATAAGAATTATGTATTATTGTTATTAATATTTACAAACACATACTATATATTAGATTTAGTACATTATTAAATATATATCAAATCTGTAAATATAAACACAACAACAACAATAATAATAAATATTGTAAAATAATAAACATTTATTTATATCAAAACACCAACAACAATAATAAATAAATAAACTTTTATTAATGTTTACACAAGACCTTACTGCGCCCGTCACTGATGTTTTTTTTAAATATAGCTTACAAGATACCTGAAAGCTTCCTCAGAAACACTTTAATGTTGTTCGGTCTGTAAAAAAAAAAAAAGAAGCAGCATTTTGAGTCAGACTTAATGAGATGACAGTTGGATTAGATTCAGGGTAATGTGATCCTCTGTTTGACCATAAATAAACCGCCACTGTTGTGATAATACGCATAGAGAGAAAGAACAATCTGAGCTTATAACTTCGTTGAGTCGGCCCTTCAGTAAACATTAGTTCTGGTCCCTATAAACATAGTAAAACAGTGTTGCATTATGTCATAAGTTAAAGCACGATTGTGATGTGAGAAGTGTCCACTGTATACCAACAGACTTCTTGAAACCATGTTCAAATTGGTAATATACATCTGATATTTATCCCTTTGCAAAAACAACTTCATATTTGTGACCCATAATAACATCCGCCTTTAAGAGCGCAAACTGGATCAAACTAGAAGAAACTGGCTCTTGCTGATGGATAACAGTCTGTCAACATCAGAAAACACCCTTATCTCGGTGAACAGACACAATTGGTTCGATAACATCTGCTGTGACTGTGAAAAGATTTCTAGCATCAAAAAATGTACTCACCATAAAACAATACTATCTCTTCAGGCCTAAGTCTATTGTTAATATTTAATCTGCATTTAAGCCATATAATGAGTGGTTCAGATTCAGAATCATACTTTCTTTTCATAAAGTCTTTTGAACAGTATACGAGCACATGATGTTTTGATGGTGGGGCAATCTGAATTTTATGCATATGAAATTTGGATTTGTAATGTTCTTTGTTTCATGTTAGTTCACAGGGCATTAACTAATGTTAACAAATACAACTTTTCATTTTAGAAATATGTTGGTTAACATTAAGATGAATAAATCATGTAAAAATTATTGATCATTGTTAGTTCATGTTAACTAATGTAGGCCTATTTATCTAATGTTAACAAATTATTTGTTATTATTATTATAAATGATTGACCTTATTGTAAAAATTGTATATATATATATAGGCCTAATACCTTGACTGTGCTATATTCATCAATAAAGAACCAATATATAAAATATAATATACGTTTTAATAATTGCTCTAATTCATCCCGCCAATTGTCAGTGCTGCGCTCGTTATGTTCTTTTTTACAGTTTGTATTTTTACAGCATGAAGGTAAGATCTTACGGATTTATAAATGAACCGCTCGTTAATGGCTTAATATAACATAAAAGATGTCTCTGAAATATGTAGTAGAAAACATAAAAAATATGAAGCAGTGAAGACTTGAATTGCTTCTCTTGTTGCCCTTCAACTGAAAATTACAACCAAAAGCCGCACAATGTGGCATCTTGTCATCAGTTTATTTACATATTTAAAACTTTACAAACCGTAATCTCTAACTTCCGGTAACTGTCGCACGCGCGTTCACGAGAGACTGGCGTTCCAGCATGGCGTAGGATCATAGACATTTCAACGGAGAAAATTGAAGCCCATTAGAAGCACTCACTTCCTGATGGCCGAGCGTATATACTGCGCAGGCTCAAACTGAGCTTGACGACGTAGATGTGACGTGAGCAACCGTTCTGACAGTTGAACGTCTTCTGGTAGCTGTGCCAAGACAAATCTGAATTGAAATCTGAAACAAATCTGTTGTTGAAATATTTCGTCCCGTTGCTTTTATGGACTCTCTATCTATGGGCTTCTCCACTTTATGCCTCCTTTTTTAACTATCCCTTAAAACTCTAATGAGTAAATCCACTTCTAATTAGCTAATTGTGCTATTTTCTATAAACAAGTTGTGCACGGCTTTAACATGGAGTTGATGCACGACAAAATAGCCTACAGACGTTTTGTTGACACTAAAAGATTGAGCTAAACACTATTTTGAAACCACTCTCATTCACTGAACTAAATGCTCGTTTGAGCAATATAATAAATAGGCATATTTATTTACACATTTACCTGACAGTGCTGAAAAAGAAAAAGGAATAAGCTACTCATGAGATTATCAAAACAATTTTATTTAAAAACATAGGCCTATAGATTTTTTTTAAGTAGACTCTAACATTGCAATAGACATACTGAATCTCTTCATAATCAAATTTCGCCCGTGGTATCAGTCCATACTTCAAATGTTCTGCGTCAAGAAGCATCAACACGTCACTCGGGTGTCTTCAGGCTCAAACTTCGTCGCTCTGGATCCGGTCAGTCACTGGATCAGTTCTTTATTTTCACAGCACACCAATATGACTCTGATAGGAGGACACCATCTCAAGTTCAGCACGAAGTCTTGAACAACACCCTTCAGCATGAGTGCCGAGTCCTCACGGTCTTTTTATCTGTGCTAAAAGACGAGAACTTAGACGAAAACTTCCCTCAACGAAACTTCAGCGACTGGCGCGTCAGTCCAGTAATAAGCATAAATTTGTCCTTCTTGTCCTGCTTAAGAGCCATAAGTGCTTTAGAGATTCCCTCAGGATCCTGGTACAGCGTGAGGATGCTCCTGGCTCTCTCCACCGCCTTCAGGTCTCCAGCTTTCTCGAAGAGTTTCACCAACACGTCCTGGTTGATGTTCTCAAAGATGTTTGGCGACGCTTTCTTGCGGTGCGCCGTATCGAATTTGACGCCGCTGGCGGGACTGACGCGAGGAAAGTCTGAAGACGCGTATGAAGACATGTCGTTAGATAGAAAAGACAGTTTTCGAGATCTCCTGTGTCTGCTGCAGTTGTGACTCCAGCATTGGAGATAACAGCCGGTTATATAGGGTACTGACTGACTGAACCAGAATTCCCTTTAGATGTGACGTCACATGGACGGTTAGTGAACGCCCAACTTTAGAAGCAGTTCTCAGTAAGCTGGACGCGCTTAGGGAAACTGCTCTGACGCAAAGATGAGCTTAACGAAGAATTCATTAATAAGTAACTGGCTCACTGTAAGCGAAATATTTCTGTTCATTTCAGTTCAACTTTAGGCATTGCTAAATTGGCATGACAGTAGGCCTAGATGCTAAGTTCTGCAACAGCCACAATGGAATAGCAATCTGCAATATTTCCTCAAGGATAGTGCCATCAATGACATTATGCAGTTATTTATTTATTTGCAAGAATTTATAGTAATATAATTCGGCCTATACATATTAATATATCCTACTATAATTTTGTTATAATTTGTGTTGCTGCGGGATAGATTACTAACAAATTGTAGTCGGTTAAGGCTACATGAGAAAAATTGTAGTTTAACATAATCCATTATATTACAAGTTTGAAGTAATATAATCTGACTACTTTTTTTTTTACCCTAATCGTTTATCACATCGATTTGAATAGGAATATTGATATTGGCCTAAAAATACAAAGAGAAGGAAAATATATTCCTTTTTTTTTTGTCGTCAACAATATGAAGTGCATTAAATATTACAGTGTCAGGGTTTCCCAAACTGGCATTCATGAAGGAACTGTAGGGGGTTCGGGAGTTTAATGATAGCCTTTTAAGTAATTAAATCATTAAAATAAAAAGAAATACATTTTAAAATAAAAACAGATCAAAATAAAACGCTTACTAAAAAAGATACAATAATGTTATTTGTTCAGCATGTCACCATTAACCAACATTAGAGAACGTGAACCTAATTTTATTATTTATTATCATTTTTATTAATGAATTTTTATTACTGAGTGTCTATTTAGCTACACCAAGTGCAAATAGTGGTGCAGGTATGACATCAATGTGTAAGCCAAAACTCACGAGTTAGCATTTTAGCACTTCCGGCTCCATCCTCCTGAAGTCAATGTGTTTTTTAAATGGGATTTTGGTTAAATGGCTGAAATAAGGTCTGTGGTGAACACAAGCTCAAAACACTTTCACGTTTTATTCTACAACACAAAATACATCATTATTAGCCTATATACCCAATTTTTTTAAGGTGTAATGTGTCTTGAAGAAGGTAGTAGCTAACAAATGGCAAAATGGGATTGGCAACAGCAGTGTGCATGGTGAGAATCCGGAAGTGATCCGGAAATGGAGGATGAAAATTTTGGCGCGGATGATGGAGGGAATGGAAATAAATGGATGGAATATAGTAGAAAATCGGAAAAGAAAGAAAAACAGGAGTAATGCATCTGAAACTGACAGTGAAAATGGATTGCATATGACAAGGAGAAGAAAAGAATAGTTTAAGGTATTGATGAAATTTGTTGCTGGGTCTTTCAGTAATATTAATCCGCTAAAGCTATCTAAAGCGATTAAGGAAATGATAGGACTGGTTGAAAGTGTTAAGAAGTTGAGGGATGGTAGATTGCTAATGTTTTGTAAATACAGTAGGCAACAAAAAAAGGCTCTAGAAATTAAATCAATCATGGGGCAAGGTGTGATTTGTTCAGTACCAGAAGAAAAAAAATGGATAAAAGGGGACGGGGTAATTACAGGGATCCCTACTGATGTGACAGTTGAAAAGATTAAGAAAGGTCTTATGGGAGGCTCAGTAATTGAGTGCCAATAACCAAACCAAGAAAAGACCATCCTCAGCCAATTAATTTTAGACCTATTGCACTGACATCAAATATATGTAAACTTATGGAACGGATGGTTATGAACATGTTGACTTATGAAATTGAAAGTAGAACAATTTTGTCAGAATATCAAAGTGGATTCAGAAAAGGGCGAAATACGATGGACCCAATTTTGAGTTTGGAAGCTGAGATTCGAAAAGCTCAAATTAACAAAAAAAAGTTTGGTGGGAGTCTTTTTTGATGTAGAAAAGGCTTATGCTACGTTGTGGAAAGAGGGGTTATGAAATTGGAAAGTTTGGGAATTGAGGGAAAAATGTATAACTGGATTTCGAGTTTCTTGTTTGGAAGAACGATTCAAGTAAGTGTGGGGTCTGAATATTCTTCTACAAATTGAGAATGGAACTCCCCAGGGAAGTGTGAGCAGCCCTATTCTTTTTAACTTAATGATTAATGACATTTTTCATAAAAATGATACTGGAATAGGAAGATCATTGTATGCGGATGATGGAGCTTTATGGAAAAGGGGGCGTACTATTTCATTTGTAGGAAATAAAAAAATCACCTTTCTTTCCCATTCTGACATTCAGTTTGGAGTTCAGGAGATTGTCTTGACCAGGACCACACCCCTAAATGCATTGAAGCAACTGCCATGTGATTGGTTGATTAGATAATTGCATTAATGAGAAATTGAACAGGTGTTCCTAATAATCCTTTAGGTGAGTGTGTATACAATTATATATGCAATTATCTAATGGCCCCCACAGTCGCCAGATCTCAACCCAATAGGGCATCTTTGGGATGTGGTGGAACGGGAGCTTCGTGCCCTGGATGTGCATCCCACAAATCTCTATCAACTGCAAGATGCTATCCTATCAATATGGGCCAACATTTCTAAAGAATGCTTTGAGCACCTTGTTGAATCAATGCCACGTAGAATTAAGGCAGTTCTGAAGGCGAAAGGGGGTCAAAGACAATATTAGTATGGTGTTCCTAATAATCCTTTAGGTGAGTGTGCATACGGTAGTGCATTATGGCGGTAATGCACCTTTTACGTTGGCTTGCCAATCCGCCATAAAACAACAGAAGAAGAAGAATGGTAATATGGGACTATAAAGACTGTCGAGGAGATTAAATGTCATCACGGCGAACAGGTGAACTCAGTCCAAGATAAAGATAAAAACTGAAAGAGTTGGCGGTATTAGGCTATTAGTGGTGGTGAAGTTGACCAACCGTTCGTTCATAGCCTACTTTTATCTTTTCACTTCTGCCGACTGGATTTAGGCTTCAAAACTTACAAAAGTTGTTTTACTGTTTTCATCTGTGAAAATTATCTTGGACTAAACGTGCAAGTATCATACACTTTTGCTGATCACAGAGCTTGTTTTTTGCGATAATCCAAAAAAATCGTTTGGGGTTTTTGTGAGGGAACCAGTGTAATCCTAACTGCCGGTTGGCCTACAAAGTGACGTCTAAAGCAAGACGGATTGTCAACAGTAAAGGAGGAGTGTTATTATAATCATATGTGATTATATCTAAATTATGACTAGGTTATGGAATACTCTAAAGAATATAGGCATAACTCAAGTTTCGGAGTTTTCTTGCTTTAGAGAAGTTGTAAGTATCTCCAGTGTATTTTGTCATACTATCTGTTTTATTGATGATGAGGGGACACAAAGCATGAGACCACTTGCTTAGTTCAGGTGATTTCATCTGTACAAGTTTAACATTTAAATGTTTTATGTCATGTGGGAAGTACCTGCATGACATTCGCCTACAAACTTTATGAAAATGACAAGTGTAATTTAAAATTTCAGCGAAAACTTTAAATATTTTAGCACTTCTTCCTCCTGCAGGACATTACGTAGTAAACGAGCTGTTTCATTGGGCAGAATGCTAGATCTCATCGGTAATGCTGGTTTGGGAATGAAGAACAACATGCAACTCTCTCATTTTATGAGATAATGTTCAGAAATAAGAACTGTTTGTTCTTTCCGCATGACCGTTCTTGTTCCATGCATGCATTATTGTGCATGTGCCACGAAACAAGTACACCATGCCATGAAAGCATTTGAAGAAAGGCGTATATGAATTTTCTATAAAAAAAAAGTGTTAAAATGTGTCAATATGTATAACAAAATAAAAGTACAGTAAAAACCTGTTAATTGTAAGTGAAAAATTCTATTTTCCAATTCTACTTAATTTAACAATTAATTATGGAGTATATCAAAATATTAAAAAATTATTTTAAAAAGACTTGTATGGTGAAAACAATACTGCTAAAATTGTATTTAAATGACAATGACAATGTCACCAAACTAACCCTATAGCCTGTATTGTCACTGTATTTTTGTCACTTCCAACAACCAGTTTGAAAATAAATAAATAATTATATATATATATATACACTCACCGGCCACTTTATTAGGTACCCCATGCTAGTAACGGGTTGGACCCCCTTTTGCCTTCAGAACTGCCTCAATTCTTCGTGGCATAGATTCAACAAGGTGCTGGAAGCATTCCTCAGGGAGTTTGGTCCATATTGACATGATGGCATCACACAGTTGCCGCAGATTTGTCGGCTGCACATCCATGATGCGAATCTCCCGTTCCACCACATCCCAAAGATGCTCTATTGGGTTGAGATCTGGTGACTGTGGAGGCCATTTTAGTACAGTGAACTCATTGTCATGTTCAAGAAACCAATTTGAAATGATTAGAGCTTTGTGACATGGTGGAAGTAGCCATCAGAGGATGGGTACATGGTGGCCATAAAGGGATGGACATGGTCAGAAACAATGCTCAGGTAGGCCGTGGCATTTAAACGATGCCCAATTGGCACTAAGGGGCCTAAAGTGTGCCAGGAAAACATCCCCCACACCATTACACCACCACCACCAGCCTGCACAGTGGTAACAAGGCATGATGGTTCCATGTTCTCATTCTGTTTACGCCAAATTCTGACTCTAACATCTGAATGTCTCAACAGAAATCGAGACTCATCAGACCAGGCAACATTTTTCCAGTCTTCAAATGTTCAATTTTGGTGAGCTCTTGCAAATTGTAGCCTCTTTTTCCTATTTGTAGTGGAGATGAGTGGTACCCGGTGGAGTCTTCTGCTGTTGTAGCCCATCCGCCTCAAGGTTGTGCGTGTTGTGGCTTCACAAATGCTTTGCTGCATACCTCGGTTGTAACGAGTGGTTATTTCAGTCACTGTTGCCCTTCTATCAGCTCGAACCAGTCTGGCCATTCTCCTCTGACCTCTGGCATCAACAAGGCATTTCCGCCCACAGAACTGCCGCTCACTGGATGTTTTTTCTTTTTCGGACCATT